CCCTACATGTCCCCAACTGTAGGCTGGGAACAGCATAAAAACGAGCACTCTCAATGCTACGTTTGCGTGTTAACTTGTCTCCTACACGCGTAGCTTTGCTCTGATAATATCCAATATGCACGTCTCAAGTTCCGCATTAATAGTAAATTCATTTAGATACTTTGGTTGATTTACTCATATAGTAACAACTTATTGTGAGTCGCACAAAAACAAGCAGCTCCCGTAGTATGTGAACCAAGATGGCGGACACCGGAACATAGTATGTGTACCAGATCAGGATTAGGCCATAATTTTATTCCAATTTTTTTCATTTTAGTTATATTACAAGTTCGGGGACTCCCTCATTATTTGCATCTGAAATTATGGCATAACCCTAACCTGGTGCACATACTATGTTCCGGTGTCCGCCATCTTGGTTCACATACTACGGGAGTACCAAAAATAATGGCAATAAAAGTGGGTCGCGAACTGGAAAAGGTTGCAAGCACTTGCATATAATGGTGTTTGTGACTCTACTTGACTATATTTCACCTTTCCGCTATTCAACTTGATCTATTGTGGAGTGATATATTGAATTTCTTTATATTTTGTTGCATTCTGCTATTGGTGTATCAAGCAATCATTAATCTCGTACACACATAGACTTGGTGTTTCAGTGGAAATACTTTGACCGATGACCAGACAAACTTTACCGGTTTACCGTTGCTGTAACTTATCGCGCTGCTGAGCCCGTCTTTTACAAAATTGTTGCACGTCATTTCGTAATATTATGTTAAATTGAAGCGAGGGTGTGCAACATTTTTTGTTGGTGGGCCACTTAACAATCTTCAGACATCCAGCTTGGCCACACGAAAATGTGGATATCGCTTAGCTTCACAGTAACACAAGCACTTTGCAAAACGGCGAAAGATTTAACGCAGTAACATGAGAAAAAGAACGTTATGTATTTTTATCCATACGAGCGCTTTTTTAAACTGAACAGATTAGATTTTTATGCTTGGTGGAGAAAAATCCAGAGTGCTGACGGGGGCCACGTCAAACGACTTGGCGGGCCGGATTGTGGCCCGCGAGCCGCCTGTTGCACACCCCTAAAATAAACGCCCCCGAAAAAAACATGTGCGAAATGATTAATTAAATTAAGGGAGAACTATTATTGGTGACAATAAACGATCTAACTAAATTGACTGTAACCGGCATATCATAACGGTTTACTGGTAATGTTAACTTTCTCGTTCATTTTGTTACGTTCCGCTATTGGTGTATCAAGAGAATAAATGACACACGAGACAATGTTGATTGCGCTCGAGGGTTTGCCTTAGCGATACATTATTCCGATATGAAATTTCAAATTTTCCTAAATTTACGTAAGTTGAATATACAACTATGTTGGTGCCCTGGAGGCATTGTATATGCTTCAAGATTCACTCGCAATAGATTAACGCAGGGCTACTCAACTATTTTTACCGAGAATCTGCGAACAAAATTTCAAAATTATTTGGGTCCGGTCTTTCCCAAAATTATATTTCGGCATCATTAAACGCGCACTTCCTCGCTCTACTATAGCAAATCAAGATTGTTTATCATAGTGTTATAGTTCTTTTCATATATTCAAAACTATAAAAGTCATTTTATAGAAGAAACTTAAAAAGTGGGGCTAATGATCCAAAATAAAGAATTAGGTGCGGTCCGAATCCAATACTTGAAAGATCCGGATTCGGACCGCGGTCCGCCAGTTGAGTAGCCCTGGATTAACGGTTGAGGCTTCACACCTAATTGTGTTGGTATGACAGATTACACATCGCGGGTTCAAATCTCACGCCTCCCACTTCACTCAGGATGTAATAAATTATATAAGCAATGCCGATCTTAAAGATTCTGGTCCTTTGAAATAATAGTATCTTCTTACCTATCTTTAAATGTTAACGACTGCTTGTACTTGGCCTTGTTCGGAACGAAAGACGTGAATAAGCGTCGTAGGAAAAATACTTAATTATCATTCATCGTCGCTATTTCTAGTTTTGGATAGCATGGAGTTTTTGTTAACCGTTCAATATCATCAACCGTAGGCCTAATTTTTTTAATTGCCAGGTTTACAGCGAAATAGGTGAATATTTTGAAAACCACCTACCAAGTTTACCTATACTTAATTCTTGGTGTTCCGCGAGGCGACATTAAAAGCGTAGATTTTTCGGGACAAAAAGTTTGAGAAACGCTATGGCACGAGTCTCAAATAGCACCGTAATGTCAGCAAACTTTCGGACAAAAGTTGAAATAATTGTGCAAGATTTCATATGGAATTGTGTTGCGTATGCTATATTTAAAGTTGTTTCCATACTATAAAAACGGACCTCCTGAAGTATACGCACCAAGATGGCGCACAACCTGAACTCAGGTTGTGTACCAAGATAGGGTTCAGGTTGTGCGACATCTTGGTGCGCATACTTCAGGAGTACCATAAAAACTTTGGATCTTTTGTATAAAGCCCCCGCCAACACTCACTAAAGGAAAATTAGTAATTATCCAGTTAGGGTTAGTAATCTAGATCAGTGCTTCTCAACCTTCTTGTTATTGTGGAACCCCTGATATAATTTTTTGTTTTTATGGAACCCCAAATTAACAGAAGAGTGACATTATCAGAGTCCATTTCTTCACACAGTTTCTCAAAAACTCTGGCGGATTTTTCTTTACCACCACATTTTATGTACTTCACAGTTTTTACAATTACATCCAAAACGCTTTGTAATCCCGTTTTTACTTGCTTATTTATTTGCGTTTTTACTTGCAGAACCTAACGGTTTCACATATAAACATACGGAACTGCATGTATTGCGGAATCCCCGTTTAAGAGCACTGATCTAGACTGCGCTGGAAATTTAATTTTTTTGATCATTCCTAACCTTTACAGAATAATTAATTACGATAATTACTAATTGTTTTTAATTTTAAAACGGGGGGGGAGTGGGGTGTTTGTCTCGAATCTTACATGTTTGCATTAGGGGCTGGAGCTTTGTACAAAAGATCAGAAAACTTTTGGGTGAAATAGAGAACCGAGTAGGTCTCGGTAACATCTTTCCAACGAGTTCTTCCATCTTTATATTTACTCTAAGACTAAGTGATGAAAATATAAAATTGGTTGCTTCATTGGTTCCGTAGAAAGCAATTTTCATAGCCATATCAATGACAATCAATATAACAAACTAGCACATTTGCGTGTCTGATTATATAGTTTTGGGTGTAAGTTGCATGTTAACTACCCATGAGTTAAACCGAAAGATGCCGTGTGATTAAAATATATTAGCTTATCATGTCTACAGTGGTCGGTCGTTAATCGAACTGTTCGCAACAAGATGTGAAACTTCGTAAGAACTCTACGTCACTATTGTTACGAACATTATCCAATAATTAGTCTCCAATATGGCTAAGCCTACTGTTTCCTCAATATCTCTGCCCTAATTTTGATCTCGTGACGTATACTCTCTGATTACTGTCATGTCCTCTCATAGCCTTCCTGATACACCTTAGCAATCGACCGTAAATAACCTTTTGGCGCGGATAAGGTATTGTTGTCATTTCCTTAGACCTCGAACGTCACTGTATTTACTGTTAGAAAAATGGTAACACACATCACATTTCTCGATAACTGTGTAGTACGTGGTGCGATAACATGTTTCTGATGTAGCCTATGATAGCGGTAATATTAACATGCTAATCCTCACTGAACCAACAGTTTAACATGGGGGCGTAGACAATTTTTTGAAGGGACTTGAAGCTAATTAAAAATAAATTTGTTAAATTTGATATTTCCCTTATTTTAGATATTTACATTTCTTTATTTTGGATATTTACGTTCAACGTGTTTTTTGAATAAGTCATACTTTCGCCTTACTATTTGTTAATTGTAGCTTATTGTTGGTTAGTTATTTTTGAGGTAAGGCGCGAGACTTGACAAATTCTAAAAAGGGTGCGCGATTTGGAAAGTTTGAGAATCACTGGTTTATATGATATTGTTTCAGACATTTTTACTCGGTTGGTTTGTTATGAAGTTCCTCGAAACAGAACCCATAAATATCTTGATTAATTACTTTTATAAAAATTAAGAAAATTTAATAAACACTTGAATTTCCGTTTGTGTATGATTGTATTAAAAGGTTACAAAAAACTTGGACGCTTCGCACTAACGTTATGTTCTTCCTAAAATATGTTCCAACTGATCGGGGTTCTGTTTTGTGCTCACTCTGTATATAAACTAACGGTGTTTTAAGTTTTACTAGCCCTAGCCCTAGTTTAGATGTAAATTTCTGATCACAAAGGCATTTACAACATACAATCCATAAACAGTCACTCTGTATATGTAAACCAATGGTAACCTAAAATTCACTAATACTAGCCGTAATCTAATCTATATCTGAGTTTCAAATCACAAAGAAATGTAGACCAGCGTTTCCCTACCTACGATTCGCGATCCAAAACTGAGTCGCCTGAAAATCTATTTGAGTCGCTTGTGTTTCAATCACAAACTTTATTACCACTGATGTAGACCATACATTCCATGAACAGTCACTCTAAAACGTTTCTTTCAACCACTGACTAAATGGCAACTAAAGTACTGTTTTTTCCATTTGACATTGGCAATGACAGTATATTTAATCACAACTCCATTTTCCTTTTGTACAAAGCCCACGCCAACGATCAAAAATAAGAAAATTAGTAACTATATCCAGTTAGGGAATGCAGATTGTACTGGAAATTCAAGTTTTTGAATCAATTCTAGCTTTTATTGGATAATTACTGTTTTTTATTTTAAAGCGTTGCGGGGTGTTCTTCTCAAATTCACATGTTTACATTAGTGGCGGGAGCTTTGTACAAAAGATCCGCAAAATTCATCCATGCATATTATTTAAAAAAAAACGACTTATGAATTGGAACCCTAGAATACCAATCTTTTACGCCTTTAAGACGTTCCTTCTCATACTAAGCACCTTTCTATATATCTTAAACAGGCTCACAATACAGGATGTATCTAACAAGTCTGTCAACGTTGGGAAAAAGGTAAAATTTACTAAAATTTTATGATGATAAGATATCTACTCATATGGACATTAGAATATTAAAATTATGTGTAAGTTCATATATTGTGCTCCTAGCGTGTTATGAGCATAGCCATACTTGGTATTTCGTTGGTTGTCAATGGCAATTAGAAGGTTAATAACATTGAAATTTTAATCTATTTTTTGATTTTTTTTAAGTATAAAGCACGACCATGGTATTGATCAATCTTCTTTCACGTTTTTCGAGGTAACCTGTACAGCACGTAACATATGTGTGACACGGGTGCGTGTTTACTACTGGGAATACATTGTTGCTAAAGTACATTTGTTATAAAGATGATGGAGTGAGATTACGGTCTATCTGAACCATACATGCAGCCCCGTCAGGTCATTTTTGGGCGCTCCAGAAGTATGTGTACCAAAATGGAGGTAATTTTGTTCGCCTTCTTTACATCAAGTTGTGTAAAGGGACTGAAGGGCAGGGGGTATATTCACTTGGCTAACACAGACAGTTCCCGAACTCGTAATAGAACTAAAATTAGGAAAATCGGAGTAAAATTATGTCCTAACTCTAACCTGGTACACATACTACGAGTACACATTTGGGGGTCCGCAAGAAATAATTTGATTGTTCAAGATCCAGTAAAAGCTTCTTTTTTAAAAAAAATTTCTGCTTCTTTGCAAGCTGACTGTTTCATTATCACGTCTCGAATATATTTCATTCTTTTTTTGTGTGTACTTGTGCTCGACCGTTCTTATGAATAGCCCTTGGGCGTCCAAGAAACCTAACAGTTGGTAATCATTATTCGTGTTGCACTAAAAATATTCTTCAATCTACACAGCAATTGAATACGAACGCTTGTGGGCCAGGCACTAAGTGTTAAATATCACATAATAAATTATTGCCTATATAACCTTTCACGAGTTTTAATAAACTTGTTAGAATTATCGAGCCATGCAGATTCATATTCCGACAACGTTAGTCCTCGAATACAACTAGATATTTGTCTCAAAGCCACGGGTTCGTGATGATTTTAGATGATTTAGTTATACATTGCTGCTTAGGTACATTTGTTAAAAAACATGGAGTGAGATTAGGGTCTATCTGCATATTACCTGCCATGTGTCGTCAAATATGTTTTAGACAATTATCACCATTTATGTCGTTATGCCGCGTGCTTTTATAGATGAATTCATATTTTAATTGACTATGATATATATATGCCTGAGTTCTTGCTTTAGGGAAAAAATGTATTTTGATATGGCTGTAGTTCGTGACTCATAATTTTAGTGTTGCCACCTCGAACAAGGCTCTGTACAAGCAGACACTTGTATGTAAGAAATTAACTGGTTTTGGTAAAACCGGAATATTACCTGTTCGGGTTTGCCTACTAAATTAATGACACTCTGGATGAGGTGATAGGCATGAGATTCGAACTCGAGATCTTCAACATGCGTTTCCAACATACAAGCCTCAGGCTCTGACTACAAATCTATTGCGCCATCAATTAATGACATGAATTCATAAAAATCTGGCAACGCCATTCCTACATATCTGTCCTTTTGGTAAAGTACTAGCCAATCAAGGACCATATATATTAGCATTCATTTTATTCTCGGACCATCTACGATCTATCAAAATAAATAAATGTTTTAGATGCCGCTCTATCACACCATGCTAACGGAAATATCCAATTTAATCCACGTCAGGAAGCATCAACCCTCGTAAATTATTTTCACAAAATTTTAGTGTTAGAATTATGATTTGTAACACAAGGGTTAATCTGTGCTTTATGCAATCTATGTAATACAGTAATATACACGTGCGCTGTGTCATTCTACAAGGCAGACAAACCATACGTTGACTTATCCGTTGGCGCTACAGTAGTATGTGTATCAATATGGAAGTAACTAAAGTTGTGGGCCGGCGGTATATTCATTTGGCTAACATATACAGTCCCTGAACTCGTACTGTTACAACGGTAGTACCAATCCGTTCACACAAAGCATGGGTCAGCAGACTTTTGTCGCTCGCGGGCTAAAATTAAGGGTTGCAAGTCATTGGGGGGCCGCACATATTTTTAGAGAGTTGAAAACGTAGCGGATGATACTTTTTATAATAAAAATCAAGCAGTGATATTTATTTCCTCGTTGCATTTCAAGAAAACCCATTTGAATATTTTCGGCGCTATTGAACCCTTTGCACTTAGCATCAACTTTTCTGCGTTTTGTTACCATTTGTCTAATTATAATTGAATTATAGGCTCATTAAACGATTAATTGTGAATTATATACTTGTTAGTTTATAATATAATTTAGTCTATACGTGTCTCACAATGAATTCTGTTACGTAGAGAATATAGTCGTCAAAACAGCTGTTTTTTTACTATAATTCAGTGAAGCGTCGCGGGCCGGATCCGGATGCATACTATTGCACCTTTGTTTGTTTTGCGGATATTTGAACCCATACTAACCCTAACCCATGGGTTTTAGCACCCGCATATAGATTGAACCCGCGGATATATACATGGGTACAAATGTCCGTGGATTCAAATGTACGGTCACCATTTTTCCTGTTTAACTCATGTTTAAACTTCACTTTCTTAACTCACATGTCTAAAGAGGTCAAGCAATGCTTTACCAAAAGCCTAGCAAAGAGCATGACAACATTCAATTTCGTATGTGAATCAACAAACGTTGGATCAATTACGACGTAATAATGAAAAAATGTGTACTACTTACCTTTAGTGTTGCCATAGTAATCCCACCGGAGATGACGACATTGTTTCATGTGACTACTCCAGCTTAATCCAATCCTGATAAATCATTTGGGTTAAATAAACGAGACTATTATGGGAGATACTGAAATAAATCGAAGAAAATTTAAATTATTTAAACGAACTATCAGTTACGGACACAAACTATACTTTTGTGCTTTTTTTGCTGTTGGTTTCGTATGAGTATAATGCAAGCATAATGTAGCAATAAATAAAGATGGATATATTGGGTTAGTTACGAGTCTTGCTTCACGGGCGCGTCGGAATTCTCCCTTTTGAAGTGTAAAAAAAACATTTGTCTGTATCATACATATCGATTTTTCTTAGCTTGGAACGCCTTTGAGACTTACAAGACTTCTGAAAACCTGCTATTTTGGTCTTCCGTTGGACTCGCTAGCTCAGGGTGGTCCAAATCCAGGCCCGTGGGCCACATGTGGCCCGCCACTTCATTATCTGTGGCCCGCCACTTCATTATCTGTGGCCCGCGTCGCATTCGGAGAGGAATCGAATCGCATTTCCTGTTGTTTCTTCATAAAATCAACCAAAAAATCTTTTGACATATTGTTACATCACTAATGTCACTGAATTGACTATAGTGTTATGGCTTGCTGAGGCAAATATAATCGATATAGCAAGTGATCATGATGTCTTTTCATAATTCGAATTTTTGAAATTGTAAAGGACTTCATGAACGCTACCTTTATATCGTCACGACGGCGATAAATACACACCGGCAAATGATTTCGGGTGCAAAGTGCAATTCTATTCCGGTGAAAATGCAATTGATATGCAAGCCGGGACAGTACTGATTATAGCGAGTGTCCTGCCGTCCCGCCCGGTAAACCTAAACGCAGTGGCGTATCTATTTAAAATGGCGCCCATGGTAAAGTCTAAACATACGCCCCCTTGATAGTTGTTTGACAATTTATAATGATCATTTATGAAATAGGATACTTCTACGTTATTATTTGAGTGAAAATACTTCCAGTTATTGCCAATTTGAAATTATTTCATTGAAACGTTTTATTATGTATACTTTTCGACATTTTTGCGCCATTGTTTAAACAGCCCCATGGCACGGGCCATGGCTGCCACATCCTAGATACGCCACTGGCTGAATGTCCCGGTTATCCAGGCAGACAGCTGATAAACTGCTGATTTGCAACTTTTTTTTTAGTTCAGATAGAGAGAGAAATTGATAAATAGAGAAATTATTATTTCATATAGTTATGATATGAAGTATGAACCATGCCTTAATTTGACACAACTATACTGTCGTTGAATCATCAAAATGCCGACAAACAAAGTGCAAGTTTTCTACCGAGTTGAAGTGAAATTTCCAGTATTTGAGTCAAAGGCCCATAGAGAATATTTTAGTAGGGTTTACAGTTCATTTAGATGTCTGTAATCTACCCACAACGGTATGAAAAAAATGTTAAACTAATACTAAGTTTCCGAATGGATCCAAAGTTGACTTTCCCAATTTGCACTGTCCCGGTTTTTTGCTTCAGATACAATTTAAGCCTACGATTACGGGTGCGAAGTACAATTTCATTCTAGTTTAGAGCAGGGCTACTCAACTATTTTTATCGAAGGTCCGCAAACATAACTTCAAAATTATTTGGGTCCGGTCTTTCCAGAAATGATATTTCGGCATCCTTAAACAAGCACTTCCTCGACCGACTAAAGATTAGTAGCAAATTAAAATTGGTCATTATGGTGTTATAGTTCTTTTCGTATATATTCAAAACTATGAAAGTCATTTTATAATAGGAAAATCAAAAAGTGAGGCTAATGATCCAAAATAAATAATTAGGTGCGGTCCAAATCCAATACTCGAAAGGTCCGGATTGGGACCGCGGTCCGCCAGTTGAGTAGCCCTGGTCTAGAGAATAAGAATTATAGCTAGTCTTTCCATACGTTTCGGTTTAGTCCGGACAGTATAAATTTTAGCGAGTTGTGCCGCGGTCCTGGCCAGTAGACCTAAATGTCCCGGTTATTCAGGCAGCTAATTTACCTCTGATTTGCAATTTACTTCACTTCTTCAGACAGAGAAAGCGAAATTGTTATTTTATTGTTACGATACAAAGTATGAACCGTATGTTAATTCACCACCAAACTGCACTGTCGTTGAATCATCAAAATGCCAAATCATCAAAGTGCAAGTTTTCTATAGACTTGAAGTAAAATTTCTATTATTTGAAGCAAAGACTAACAGAGAATATTTTAATAAGATTTACAGTTAATTTTGATGCCCGTAATCTATCCACAATAGTATGGAAAATGTTGAACTATTACAAAGTTTAGGAAAGGAACCAATGTTGACTGTCCTGTCCATGTCCTGTTTTTTTTTTGCTTAAGATATATGGTAAACCTATCTGTCGTTACAGTTATACATCCATATAAAAAGCCAAGATATAGATATTTATTAAAAGCTATTGTGAAACGCTCACTGCACATTAGCTCAAATATATTTCTGAATAGCTGATATAAAGTCGTAATTCATCATACAAGCATGTGTTCTGACCTTGATTTTACGAAGAATTATCGAACTGTCAAACCTGTAAAAGTCAAACTATGGGTTCGGAGAAACCCATCCGCTTTCGACAAAAACACAAATCCGGATCTAATTTAGTGTCGGGAAATTTGCACTTAACTTCATTCAGCTCAAACAACGAGAGCAAGCAAGTCCATAGGCGCTATTGAACCTTTTGCACTTAGCATCAACTTTTCTGCGTTTTGTTACCATTTGTCTAATTATAATTGAATTATAGGCTCAATAAACGATTAATTGTGAATTATATACTTGTTAGGTTATAATATAATTTAGTCTATACGTGTCTCACAATGAATCCTGTTACGTAAAGAATATAGTCGTCAAAACAGCTGTTTTTTTACTATAATTCAGTGAAGCGTCGCGGCGAATGCAATTTTGAATGCAATTTTGCGGCATTTACAGTAGACATAAATTCTTACGCCTTTTCCAACATCATTTCACTTTAATCATGAACGATTTACTTAGAACTGAATTTTCCTGGCTTCTATCAATAATTCTTTCACCAAACGAACCAACCGGGACAGATGAACATGCTCGCTTGTAAACCTTGAATAACTTCGACAGCGAAGTGAGGAGTTTATAACTTATCGATTTTATTCGGTAAGTATGTTGATAGGTATTTGTCTGTCTGTTAGATGCACGCTATATCTCACGAAGGCGAGATTGAATCTGCTCCAGATTTTGCATGTGCATTCATCATATCTCGGACCAGAAGCCTATCAAGTTTGGGCGAATTATGTCGTATAATTAGCGAGTAATTAGTGATGAGACACAAGGTGTCACTATGGAGTAAGAGCGCTGTATTGGGGGATCCCCTAACTTTCGATCGATAAGTCTTCGGTCTCTAACCGATATTCTAGTTTAAGATAATGTTAGATATCAGTTAGCAAAAGGCACAAATAGGCCTCGTACTACGCCTTTATACAAATTTGCCTGTGATGTGCCCTTACTCACTGTGGCACATGGCCAAATCACACAGACGAGCTTCTTGGGCAATTATAATTTCTGAAATCAATTAGACAAAATGTTACTGACATATATTTGCGTAAGGGCACAGCCAGACTCCTGATTTGAATATTATAATCTAGTTTATGACATTTGTGATATATGGCAATAGTACGCATTACAATTAATAGATCATTTTGATGAGATTTTTAAGGCCAAGTAATTAATGTTAATCGACGTTTGGCAAGGTTTGCTCTTTGCTTAAATATCAATAATTATTGCCATATTCAAATTATTACCTGAAAAGTATTTGTATGGTCCTGCAACAGTGGTTCCAAACCTTCTAGCACTCGTGGCGCCCTATTTGTCAGTACAATAGTATTTATAGTGTTATTGGTAGCAGGTTCAAACAATTCATGCTCAATTAGGTGATGACACGCTTTGAAATAACTTTGTCAAGCAATAAAACTTGAAAGAACGGGGAGTTTTCTTGTAAAGGGAAAAGTAAAATCAGTTTTTTGTCTAGCTGGGAATGGGGGCCACAATGCCAGGCGCAAAACTGATTTTACTTTTCCATTCACAAGAAAACTCCCCGTTTTTCCTAGTTTCATTGTTTCAAAAGGTTGTTTTTACGGATGTTTTCACTCTGTTGAGCATGAATTGCTTGGACATATTGGGATTTGAAATATACCAATCTAAATAACACTATAAATACCACTGGAAGAGGGGGCCATGACTGCTAAAACCCTCCGGAAGGGGGCCATGTTCCGTAAGAGGTTGGGACCACTGGTCTAGAATCTCTTTGAGAAACGACAATATAACGATCATTCTAAAAATGAATGGCATATTGAATAGAAAAAGATTCGTTGGCGTCACAAAACTCACTAATATCGACAATATGTTGCGTTATCCGCTCATAGAAACTAACGAAATTTATTCTATATTGAAAGATACTACACTGAATAAACCGGTCAAGCTGTCAGAGATAAACTAAGGCACGAGCTGATGAGGCTACAATCTCAGGCACGCACACCAGCGGTGTGTCAATCTTTTCTGCTTCCCAGTGCAAGTTTCTGATGATGCTGCCCCTTAAACCTGACTTCAAAAATACTTTGAGGGCTAAACAAATGTAGAGTTTGGTATACATGAGAATAAATAAATTGAAGGTCAAGTAAGAGTGACATGTTTGTATCAATTTTGTTATTCAAATCGTCAAACTAAGAAACAAACTCACCCCTATAACGCTATGCCCTGCCCCCCCCCCCCACACCCCCACATCCCTTCCTCTGGACACGCCACTTAGACACGTCAATGTAAATGTAATAAGAGACACCGTAGTTGCTGGTCTACGGTCGCTACAGTAATTTTCATATCTCGTAAATGTTGTTAAAAAATATCAAATATAAAATAGCATGAAACATTAATTGCGCGTGTGACCAATATGAACATAAAAATAGGCGGTATTTGAAGATTTGATGAATGTCCGTTCTTAGACATTGTTGCAGTATTATTATTGACACATATTATCGCATCGTCATCCTATCCGTATAACTTAGAAGTGTGCACGTTTTAAATATTAAGAGTGGGAACATGAACACACCGATTAGGCGCGATGGCCTGACGGGTAA